TTTTTTTTTTTTTTTTTTTTTTTTTTTTTTTTCTTTGGTTCTGGCAAATAATTGTCTATGCACCTTCCCAGCAAGATCCCTGGTTACGCCACTGTATTAGCTCTGTCTCCCTTGATGTCGAGTTTGGGGATTTGTCCGGATTTTCCGGTTTTCCTCCCTCTAACAAGCTAAACAGAACTTTTCGGCTTGGGCGAATTGTTTTCCCGTTTCAGACCAAGTGTCATCCTCCTGAGAATATAATTCTTTGTTTGAGTTGTATTACATATTCATTTGTCTTTTCATGTCTAACCGTTAAACAAAGAAATGATACTCTAGGGAATGACACTTGGTCTTGAGAATAAGATTCTTTGTTTGAGTTGTATCCATATTCATGTGTCTTCTTATGTGCAACCGTTAAACAAAGAAATGATACTCTAGCTTACTCCAGATGAGATAACACGTGGTTCGAAATGGGAAAACATTAAGCCCAACATGGCCGAAAAAGTACGTATATTGATGATATCTGCGAATCTCAGAGCTGTATTGTATTTTGCCTGTTTTGCTTCCTTCTTTTTTTCTCTTATTAAAAACTACAAACATTAAGAACATGAACTAAGGGAAGGTATTTTGGTATTCATGTTCGTAATCATAGGCACCGTTCGAAGCTATTTTTAGAATCGCATTTGCCTTATGTACGTGCAAACTTCACATGCTGTACGCTCTTTGCTTACGTCATTTCTTGGGAAAAAACACGCAAGAAAACATAAGCTAACGGGGTAGAGCTCGCACAGTAAGCGCGTGCAAAAAATCAAACGAGTAAATAAATGATTCTAATAAAAGCATGAATGATTCTAAAGATAGCCCCAAAGATTCTAAAAATAGCATCAAAGAGTGCTCATGATGGGGCCTGGGGATTCCTTCTCTTAGTTTAATTTCTCTCGTTCGAAGTTTTCTACTCTCTAAGAGTTATTACCTTTGGGGTCGACGATGTACTCTCTGCGCGGATAGATCAAGTAGTTGTACTGATCAGTAACCAACACATTGAGATTAGCGTCCCCACAGCCCCATCTGCTAAATGAGAGTCAAAAGAAGGCCATTGACTATCTTGCTTGGACCATAGTATTGGAAGGTTCCTGGACGATTCCCTTTGGCCTGAAAACACACTGGATTCTGGTTCAGCTTTTTAACCTTTCTACCTGAGAAGGAAGAGTTTATATAAGTGCAATGAGATAATAAACATGACTCAGTAACATGATTAGGTTATATAGTACTCAATGGCCATACTATTTTCGGAATCAAAAACAGAGAACAGAGAAGATGAGACCAAAATGGTAATATTAATATTA